AAGTTCAGTGCAGCCGTATTGAATTCAATGCAGCCGTATTGAAGTTCAGTGCAGCCGTATTGAATTCAATGCAGCCGTATTGAAGTTCAGAAACTTCAATACGGCCGTATTGAGTTCAGTGCGGCCGTATTGAAGTTCAAAATGTTCAATACGGCCGTACTGAACCTCTGGGAGGCCGTATTGGGCTTCATTCCTCCCACTTTTCTTATTTTAGCTATTCTAAGACCTCTAAACCTACAGATAGTCATCCTATGGTCTTCTAGGAGTCCTTCCGGCTGACTTTCCTTTGGCCTTCGAGAGTCTTCAAGCTTTATTTCCGACCCGGACAATTTTAGGGGTCTACAGTGTGACTATAATTTCTATGGTAACGACAATGTTTACTCTTATCAGCATTGGTTGGATTATGTGCTGGCGGGGATAAAGATATCAGATCTGCATGATTAGCTTCTTCCAGAATATTAGCTCGTGGAGTATTCAATGGTGTGTAGAAGTCATACCTCGAACCTCATGCTAGACGAGGTCTTTTTAACCTTTGATCTGCGTGAGACCTTGGCTTATCTTTCCCACTATTCTCCCCTCTAGTGGCGTACTATCTCGCACTTGATTGCGGAACTCAGCGTGCTCCTCCATTTGGATAAATCCGGTCGTGCGTGCTCTTAGTTCATCCATATTCGATGGTTGACATCGACAAAGACTATCTACAAAGGGCCCCGGTTTCAAGGCCATAAGCATAGAGTGCAAAGAAACTTCAGGGTTGAGATTATGAATCTTTATGGAGACACTGGCAAAACGTTCCATGAAATGTCGTAAAGACTCATTATCCTGTTGTCGCATATTTGAAAGTGCGGCCGAAGTGATGTGGTGGGGTCGGCTTGTGGCATATTGAGCAGAGAAGATGCGTACCAACGTGTCAAAGTTATCTACCGTTCTGGGTGGTAGTTGAGTGTACCAACTGAGGGCGGCTCCTTTTAACGATGTGGGGAACACACGACACATGATAGCGTCCACTAGTACACAATACACATTTTACGTCGGTTATTTTAGGGGTTTTTACATCAGAAAAGCCTCCAACGTAGAAGCGGGAGACGTAAATTTACGTCGGGGCGCGAAAACCGACGTAAATTTACCTCGGACATGCCAAGGTCCGACGTAAAAATTCATACATGTTGGATCGAGCGCTTACCACTAGGCCAAAAGCTATAGCTGATAGTCAGGGCGCAACTCTTTTTACTTAAGAGCGCAGGAGCCCAAGCGCCATGATTCGACAGTGACTTGGCCCACCTAGCCTCCGCCACGGGACAATTGATGCAACCCGCAACAATCTCCCCCTTAGCAATTTCCCCGCTGGGTATCGAACTCATGACCTTGGCTCTGATACCAATTGTTGGATCGAGCGCTTATCACTAGTCCAAAAGTTATAGCTGATAGTCAAGGCGCAACTCTTTTTACTTAAGAGCGCAGCAGCCCAAGCGCCATGATTCGACAGTGACTTGGCCCACCTAGCCTCCGCCACGGGACAATTGATGCAACCCGCAACAATCTCCCCCTTAGCAATTTCCCCGCTGGGTATCGAACTCATGACCTTGGCTCTGATACCAATTGTTGGATCGAGCGCTTATCACTAGTCCAAAAGTTATAGCTGATAGTCAAGGCGCAACTCTTTTTACTTAAGAGCGCAGCAGCCCAAGCGCCATGATTCGACAGTGACTTGGCCCACCTAGCCTCCGCCACGGGACAATTGATGCAACCCGCAACAATACAAAATTTAAAATAAAAAAGAAAACAAGTGCAGCAGCGGGCCGTTCTACTTGGAAAATGACCCGTTCTGCTTGGAGAACGTCCCGTTCTTCATGGAGTATGGGCCGTTCTACAAGCAGAACGACTCGTTCTCCAAGCAGAACGACCCATTCTACTTGAAAGACCCAGGAGTGCGTTCTGCAAACCCGGACTTGGTCACTTCCTTCTCCTTCTACAGCTTCAAAAACTCGAAATGCAACACAAACATTATTACGAAAAAAACATCCCAGAAAACACAAACTTGATGGAAGATGCTACCTCATAGAACCTCCCAGAAAAGCCCATGACCACGTGAAGAAGAAACAAAAGAAGGTGCAGATGAACGCCATGAAGGAGGAGGCGCGGGAGAAGGAAGAAAAACAGAAGAAGCAGGAGGAGGCGCGGGAGAAGGAAAAACAATGAACATTTTGAAATTTAGCTAGTGCGCGCTCACCTTTTAACAGGTTCTGGGGGTTATTTACGTCGGCCCTAATTGGGTCCAACGTAAATTTTAACATCTACACCGGACACAATGCTTAACCGACGTAGATGTTAAAATTTACGTCGGACCCAATTAGGGCCGACGTAAATAATTCAACAAAATTACGCTACATGCCACCGCATTTTTATAACGTCGGGTTTTCATGTTTTCGACGTAAATTAGGTGACGTAAAAGCCTATTTTTGCACTAGTGACGTCATTGTTGGTGTACAAATTGATCTAAGTTACATATGCATCAATATGTTCATCTAGGTTAGTGGTTTCATCATAGTGTTCAATGTTTAACGCTTTCATCCGAGCAGGAGAGGAACTTCCATGATTCCATCCACAAAATTAAAGGATGTCTTCGGACAATGTTGTGATCTCGAGTAGGATAAGCCTGAGTATGTTCAGATTGATGTGTTTGATTGTGTGTTGAATGATGTACATGATTTGGCAAAAAATGATGTTCTTCGTCTAGAGGACAAGCATGGCTAGTCTGGGGATTTGGTGGTGGTTGGTGTTGTTTCCATTGAGTTCTGAGAATGTCATTCTCAACGCGTAATTGCTGGAGATCGGCCTCATGTTGTTTATGCATGGTTTCCATCGCTGTCGTGTGCTGCTATTGCATTAGTTCAACCTATTCCAATAATTAGCGGAGGGTTGCATTATCCTCCATTTGTGAAGCGTCCCGATGTGCTACATTCATTGCGTGACAAGCCTGGCTTTTAGTTGAGACCATAAGGTGAAGGAAAAAGTTTTACCAGGCCCTCCTTTTAACGCCAAATGTTTTTACCGAGGTCAGGTTGGTTCCCTTGCTCCCTGTTCCCTTGTTCCTTTGTCTAATCTTGGATCTCTAATCCTCTCAGATTTACCTGCAAAAAGGACTCTAATGATCAAGTTAGTTGATCTTCCATTACTTCAAACCATGTTATATATCTTACCTGTACCAAGGTCCGTTACCTCTTCTCCATAACTGCTGAGTAGGTTGAAATTGGTAGTTTTCCTTGGATAACTTCTTTGATCACCTTGGTATCATTATTCCGATCTCTCAATCTTACTTATATTATTAATATTATGTTAATATAAATTAATAACTAAGTTCACTTAGTATTAGGGTCGTTAGTGAAGTCGGCTGCTGTCGTTAGCGAAGTCAGCATTTTATATTGGTATAGTACAATTATCATTTCCAATGTTGTCAAGCAACTCATCCTCCACCTCCATTGTACTAAAGGGTGTGGTAGTTCAGGGTGTTGATTAGGCTGTAAGAAAATTTAGCACTTCTTCTATCAATATTTTGGAGGTTTGATCTCGCCGAACTTCATGCGTGTCGGTCAGCTAGAAATATCCACCTTTGGTTATTTTGGGGTACAATTGGGTGCACAAAGAGGTCGCTAATGTCTACTCCCTATATATGGGCCAAGAGTCAATTTGGCTCCTCTGGACAACTAAGAAATTCATCAAGTTTCAACCATTTGAGGTTCCATTTCCTATTAGTCCACATTGAAATGATAGAGAATTGAATCCGAACTTTGTGTTCTTAGGTCAAGGTGTAGCAAGTATCACTTCTTTTACGTGTAAGACTACCTATTCCAAGAACTCGACATTAGCTTATCGTTTGACAAGTTCTTTATGAGTGTTCTTTGGATCCTAAATGTTCCGCTAACACAACTTCATTTGAATAAGTGGGCGATCATGCAAACCTTTAAGTTGTGCCAATTTTTGAACATTAAACCGACGACCATGTTATTCCTATGATTTTACTATTCTCACCACTACTACAAAAGCACTGTTCTACATCGGTTCTGAAAGCATCAAGAGTGTCCTTCATCTTCCTCCTCCTTTGTTCGTGGGCATTGAGTGACCCAACGAGCTCTTCCACTGAGAGAAGTGACAAGTCCTTTGACTCCTCAATTACGCATGCAATGCTCTCGAAATCATCTGTTAATGATCTCAAGATTTTCTCCACAATTCTACATGCTGGCATTGGCTCCCCATTCCTTCCGAGTTGGTTAGCCAACTTCTCCACCCGAGTTATGTACTCGGATACTCGCTCCTTATCCTCCATCTTCAAACACTCAAACTCTCCTCGAAGAGTTTGAAGTCGGATCTGTCTAACACGGTGGTTACCTCTGTGCGCAACCTCCAAGATCTCCCATGCTTCCTTTGAAGACGCAGCGTTTGAAATATTCTCGAAGCCTGATTCATCCACGACATTGTACAAAAAATACAAAGCCAATTTGTCCTTTACTCGTGTCTTTTCCAATGTGGCAATCTGAGCCACAGATTGCTCTTCGTTCTCCTTGGGTTCTTGGAACCCCTTCTCCACTATGTCCCATAGACTTTGGGACGAACTCATCAAGGTGAAGGCTGGATTCGTGTCATTTGGGGATGATTCCAAGGTGGCGGTAAAAGGGCGTGGAACCATCAGGCATATGCAGAAGGATGGACGAGTTGGAGAAATAAGGAATGTCTACTACGTTCCCGAGCTTAAGAGCAACATCTTAAGCATGGGGCAGATGATGGAGAAAG